AACCCCCNCCCCCCCCCAAATCATGGCTGGAAGTAGGTCGTGAGCATATGGTCGGCTACTGTTCGGTTTCACCAGTGTTTAAAACACTTGGGCGTGGAAGAAAGGTTCGGCCATTGTTGGCTGGTGGTTGACTGGTGTTCGGGAGTAGGTCTCGGGGCGTGGTTAGCAGTGACATTTGACTCAAATTTAGCTCAATTCGGTTGGATTTGTATAGCAAGGTAGACGTGGCCCGACCATCAGCCAACCGTGGTCGGCTAGTGTTCGTGGGAAGGTCGTGAATGTGTGGCAGCGGCTTAAAAAACGTCGTGTGATCGTCGTGAGATCGCAAACGGAGCGCAAGTGTACGAAAGTTGAACACACAATGCTACCAGTGGACTTACCCTCTACTGTAGTATTATCTGTGCTTGAACAGCTAGCGCTGTGTGGCTTTTGGTCTAAGGGAAAGGAGATGGGCGCCGCCTTATGGTTTGTGTAACAGTTTATAGGCGCTACCAACTGACCCAGCTGACGGGTCTAGACCTTTTCGCCCGAGTGGTTAGAGCGTCGGAGTCTGAAGCTGGTGCTAGGGAGGTTGTGGGTTCGAACCCCGGCCCGGGATCAGGGGTTTTTATCTGTGTCTACTGCTTGCCTTTGTTTCTTACATTTGGGAGGGACTTTTACAAATCCCGACCCCAATGATCATCTCAGTGATCTGTTTTCACATCCTCCCTTATTTGAGCACATCGTTCGTGAAGCCTTAAGTGTGTCTTCCTTAAGACATTAGGTATTTAAGTCTATGACGTACATTTGTTCAAAACAACTGTTCTTCCATTTGATATTTTGCTTTGTGGTGAATCGGAAGCTTTCCGCTTGTTTTGTTGAAGGCCTTTCCATCTGTATAGTTCATATAGCTGATTATATCTTGCACAGGTATTGACTCCCTTTCATTGATTTCGATAGAGAATTCCTGGAACTAATACATGATACATTAACACAATGTAGGTTAAGCTCTTTGAGTAGGGTGATATTCTTTGATTTTAGACCAATCCATCAAAGATACAAAGAGAATTCTTGGAACTATTGTATAATACATTAAAAAATGTAGGGTAAGCTTTACCTGACAATATTTCATGAGTCAAACCTACTTACAGTTAGAACTTGCGACAGATAGCACGTGTTTGTTCAATATTTTGTAGTTTTGGCCCTCATATACCTAAAGTATGTAAATAACAAGAGAATAACACAGGCCTCATATTACGGCTAGATTTATAAAATTTGATAGCCATTACGAGTGTTAATTAAGCTTACCAGAGCGGACACTAGGTATAGCAGAAAAGAAAAGGGGGAGTAGTGTAAAGTGGGGGGTTATAGGCGCTACCAACTGACCCGGCCAACGGGTCTAGACCTTTTTGGCCGAGAGGTTAGAGCGTCTGACTGGTGCCCGGGAGGTCGTGGGTTCGAACCCCGGCCCGGGACCGGAAGGGTTTCTACTGGCACCTCCTGTTTCTTACAGCGCGTAGAAAATTTTGGATTTCGATATATGCAATGAAAAGTGACAAAGAAACTCCCTACCTTTTAGGTGTCAAACAATGAACACTGCTTACCTGTCGGTTCGAAACGTCTTCTTCTTGTTGTATAAGGTTGTCATCTTTTGTAGAGAACGCCGCGACTGAACACACGGCAATGCCGAGAACCGCTACAAGCAGAAACCGTGCTGATGTCTTCATCTTACCCGCTCCTGTACCTCACTAACAACTGCTGAAAACTGCCGAGAAGGTAGTTAGTCCTGGGCACATCACCTGATACATTTGAATACTCCTATTAGGCCTTGTTCATATGAAACCACCCAAACCGCGATTCGGGTAACTCGCATTCCTCACATCTGGTCCACGTGCCATACATTCCTTTCAAATCGTGCCCGATCACGATTCTCCGAAACTGCATTCATTGTTGTTTGATGAAAACATGCAAGGTAGCGTGTTATTAATGTCCCCCCTCCCAGCGTATCTCGGGCGAATGCCGACGTGGTCCCGCCAGAGGCGGTGAAGCTCGTCCTAGATCGGACACATTATTTGACCATTACTGCTCTTTAAGCTGCTGCCACGTAAAATTTGGTACTGCATATAAATAAAGAAATATCACCCCGTAATCCATGACCAGGTGAAGTCACATTGAAATCACATGCGTTCAGACGCAAATAGCGATGCGGGAAAACCGATTCGAAACCACCTCTAGAAGTGGTTTGGGATCGAGGCGCTTTCAATGTGATGTGGAGCGTTCAGATGGCATGGGGCCACTGGAAACCGGCTTCGGGGGAAAACACAGGTAAGGCGCCTTCACTGACTTCATATGAACAGGGCCTTAGTAGGATCCGGTGGTGGGTGTATTTCATGTACGCTCACGCGCTGGTGATGACTGGCGAGGGCGGGAGACAAGAGTTCTGTTTACCGACGGCAGCGGCGGGACCTGCGGGTGATTAAGGCAATCGAGCGCTAAAATCAGCAGAAGAAGGTCTCGAGGGTGCTCAGAAATGCTCTGGTAGCGGTAATGGAGGCAGTCCTGATGCCTGTCCTTAACCTGCACACTACTGCGAGACGTGTGAAACGTGCCCACACATGTGAAAAGTGTGCACAAGGGTTAAATGCATTAAAGGCATCCAGTGCAGTTTTTAGGGCTTGGAAACCCAATTTTTCAAAGCCAATATTCTAGTCACTTATCACTTATCTACATGTACATACTGAGTTGAAACCACACTATCCTAATGTATATTGACCCTCATGGAGCAAAAATTCCCAAAATTCTGACGGAAAATGGTTACTGGAAGGGCCCTGTGCTGATTTCAAGGGTACCGCCCAAAAAATAAAAGACTCATCTTGGGGCTTGTTTCTGCAGTTTTCAAAGCCCTAAGTATGAAATATTGGCTCAAATGTGTTAATGTGAAGCAGTATGTGTCAATATCACAAAGATTGCCTTATTACCTTCGCCAAGAATTGGAGAAGGTTATGTTTTCATGGCCGTGTGTGTGTGTGTGTGTGTGTGTGTCTGTCTGTCTGTCTGTCAACAGCATAACTCAAGAAAGCTTAGATGGATTATCTTGATATTTGGTAGGTGGGTAGGTCTTGATGAGAGCTCGAACTGATTAGATTTTGGGCCCCCTGGCGGCTTCTTATGGTACTGCAGCTGAGCTTCCCGTTTTGATATCTCATGATCTAGACATGCTAGGGTGACGAAATTTAAATGGTAGGTAGCTCTTGTGCTGGGGAAGAAGTGACGTCAGTTTGCGCCCCCTAGCGGCTTGCTCTGGAACTGCAGGGCTATCTGTTTTAAAATATCAAAAAGAGCATAACTCAAGAACCGGTTGACGGATCGTCGTGATTTTTGGTATGTAGGTAGCTTTCATGATGCTTGATATAATTATATGACAATTATGCAAATATGGATGTGATTTGCATAATTTATGGGGAGATTCTATAAACCAGCTGCATTCCATGATAAGACTATTGAAGCTTGTGAGATTGGTAATTGAGAAGGAGAGAAACACAGGCAGATATTGATTATGTATATGAGGACATAATTTGCATAATTAATGAGTAAATGTTATAATTCTGTAATGATGACTGCCTGGAATTTTTATACATGTGGTATGTGAAAGTTCAGTGAAGGTAAACATCATTAAACATAATATATTCAAATCAGGACCTTATTTGCATAATTTATGAGGAAACAATAGAATGGCACAATAATTTGTCAGCCATAAAGATTAACATCATTTGGCGAAGGTATGAGATCGAGGAACTCTAGTTCAGAATATTTCCAGTTTTTCTGCCCTGAAATCGCATTGGATGTCTTTGATACCGTAAGAGTGGAATCAAAGAGAAGAAATAAAAAGAAGTGGGATGGTTTGTTAAATGATTTTCAAAGTAAATTTTCTGTATGTAGTAAGTCAAATCAACCCTATCTCATAGCACAGGTGATAGCACCTGTGTGGTAAATTTTTAAAATGCAATGTCGTTGACGGAAAACGGTTGCTTGCTTCGTATCGTAGATTTATGGGTGGTATCCGGTACCCAAAAGGCAAAAGATAAAGGGACTTTGGATGTTTTCTCTGTTGGGCCACAGCAAGTCATTTTTATGGATGACATCAACGGGCGCATTAATTTTCGCCTGATTTTGGAAAAAAAAAACAAGAAATTTTGTTGCCTTCTGACAGTGGTCACCATGCCGAAAATAGGCCAAGATGTCTGTTGCCATGTCGGAAGGTGGACGGCAGATAACTATAAAGAGAGGAGACAAGACAAGGCTCTGATTTTATGTTTTGTTTCTTACTTTGATGCAGTGATATGTGATGTTGGCTGTGAATATGTGATGTTCCCATTGAATCAAAACCATTTGTACAATGATTGAGTCAAAATTTCAAAATGTAAGAACCTTGTTTTTTTCGGCCCGCCTTGTTTTTTTTTCGCCCGCTCGCATTAGATTTGGAATCTGTGGAGGATGTCATCCATAAAATTTACTTGCTGTGGCCATGTGATATATTACTAAATCTATTCTGAATCTTAAATTAGACATGAAGGTACATCTTCCCATAATGTATATCATTAGTACTGTCGGCACACTTCGATTGATCATAAAAAATATATATCTTTTATTTTCGTCAAACCTGATTGACCTAAATTGATCCCACTTTCGGCAATGATAAATGCATTTACACTCACCGTTTTCCCCAGTCACAAATGTATGTGGAATAATACGCGTTGCCCAAAGCTTTTGATCCAAGGCAACGGATACGTCTTCTTTTTTGGTGTGGCCATGAACTTATGGGGTTAAAACCGAATGCATCATAAACCATCTAGGTAAGGCCACACTGACTTAATTTTATGGATGACTTCCTCTGAAAACCCCCAAACTAGTGCGCGCGGGCGAATAAAAAAATTCCGGCCAAAAATGGAAATGATACTAAACCAGAGGAATACAAAGTAGGTACATGTATTGTGAATTTGCGGCAGTACTTAGTGACTAATACGACAAGTCGGCACATGTTGGCTTTTTTGCGGAGTTTATGAATCGGCACTGTAGGTATGTACTGAGATCTTAAGTCGTCGAGCTTCGGCAGCCTGGTTGCCGTCCTCCAGAGTTACCACCGGCTCCCTATTGTCGCTAACTAGCATGGACTACCCAGGCCTAGAGCCAGACAAAGCATCGGAGGACGTGATGTCTTTTTTTTGAGGACAGGCGAAAATCAATGCGCGCGAGGATGTCATCCATAAAATTAAGGCGGTGTGGCCTAACTAGAAATTAAACTGATGTGATAAAAGTGATCTGATACGTCTGGATATTCTTTTTGCCTGAATCCGTCGTTA